GAAACAATTTGAGACGAGTGTGGGGTTAGAGACGAACATGAGGTCGAGGAAAGAAACTTGGTTATTGGTGGTGACGTAAGTTGGCTCGCTGCATACTTGGGTAAGTCCGAGTGTTTCTATGTGGTCGAGGAGGACAGTGTCAGATGGTCCTGTGGGCTTGGGAGAGCTTAAGTCTGACCAATTAATGTGCGCATTGAAGTCTCCGACAACTAGCACGTTGGAGTACTTCTTCTTTGAGAGGGTAACGGAGGACAGCGCTGACTGTAACAAATCGTAGCTTTCTGTTTTCTTGCTGGGGGGACAGTACGCAACACAGAGATGTAGAAGGCCCTGTTTTGAATGAAGGTCCACAAAAATGGCCTCGAGGTCGTTCCGGTCTAGGTCGTGTCTTCTAGTGCATGTGATTGACGACGGTATGGCGACGAGAACTCCACCACCAGACCTGTTACGATCTTTCCTGTAGACTTTAAACCGTGTCAGGTCGACGAGCTGGCTGTCGTAAATGGAGTTGTCCAGCCAAGTCTCACACAAGGTGAATATGGTGTTGGGGCGGGACTCAGTGAGCACCCGGAACTCCAGCATTTTGTTCTTCACGGACCTGAGGTTGGAGAACCAGAAGGAGGTTGTTTTCCTTGTTTCCGTGGTACCGGGAGCCGTTGGTCTGTCCCCGGCTGTGGTAGGTGATGCGATCGTCGTTAGTGCAGGCTGCTTCGGCGCTTCGAAAAGGCTGTCGTCGAACGATGGCAGCTGGCACACGCCGCAGTACCATGGTTCTGTGCAGTTCGACAGACGCCGATAGGTAGGCAGTGAGAGCTGCTCACATTTCCTGTGGACCCAGATGTTGCACCCGTCGCATTGTAACGCCGCCACGCTGTCGTAGAGCGGCTTGCAGCAGCGAGGACAAGTAGGACACGGTCCCGGGTTGAGCGGTACATCGCCAGCACAGAGCAGAATCAAGCACACATGAGGTTGAAGGACGGAGGTCGGGCGGCAGTACGTCCGGTTTTTCGCCGGTGACGGGTTCGGGCCGAAGCGGGTAGGCTTAGCAAATCCGCGAGTGAGTGCCGCCGCTGTGCTCCACTCCAGACGATCGAAGTATGCTTGACGATGGTCATGTTGCGTCGCGAGGTGTTTGCGTGGAAAGAGCGCCGCAGGCGAAGAGTACCTAAGCGTTGAGAGCGCAAACCAAAGCATAAACAAGCGCACGCACTTCAAAACGTGACCGTTCGTCATGGCGCCCAGTGTTGCTACGGCGACGGGGTTTTGAGCTGCTTACAACCGCACCGTTGCCATAGCTACTGGCGTGAGCCCGTGACTTCGTCTGTGGTTTCCTTTGGGTCAGAACGGGTGCAAATGATCTGCGAGATCAAACGCCATGCTCGCGCCAGCAGCTTTGGCACCGTTGTGCACGAAGTATGAAACTGATTCCATGAGGCTGCGACGTGCTTCTAAACAGAGAAAAACCCTTGCAGAGGTTCCTGGACACTTTGACACACAGAACCTGAAAGCAAACAAAAAAAGACAAACACAGTTTGCATAATTTTTCTGCGAAATCATAATTGTTTATTGCCTGGTCCCACAGGCTCGCTCAGTATGTACATAACACTCACTAACAATGGAGTCATAATAATAATAATAATAATAATTAATAAGCTTGCATCTTATAAATTCTTTGGCTCTAACTGCTTATAAATAACACAGTACAAAAAAAGCGGGGGAACATTTTTGTTTGTATTTTGTTTTCTTTGTCCACTCATATTCTCGGGTCATTCTTTTGCTTTGTTGATACATAATGATGATGCACTCATCCGTTCACACAACATACTTTTTTTTTTCGCTTTCTAACGATGCGTAATGTTGTAGAAACGTGTATGAAACGACAACGGTGCGAGTTGTTGAACCGGTGTGCGCGACACTGTTTTTCAGGTAACAGGTCCACGAGAGCTGTTCTTTTTCTCATTTTCCAACCTTTCAAAGTGAAACGTTCAAGCTCAAAACGACACATCAAAGATCTGAACAAAAGTAAGGAAACTAATATACTCGGTGCGCAGAAAAAACATACTAACAAAACTTTAAACGGTACTAATGACCAACTGTAATTGATATAGCGGAGAAGCATTCTGTGGAAACACAGCAAGTGGATCAGTGTCACCTTCCTTCCAAGTGTTTTCTGTGTTGCTGGATACCCAACTAAAAATCAGGCTAGGCTATTGATAAAGTCAGCAGTCATGCTATTAAAAGTGGAAAAAATTGTCGCCTCGTACCGCTTCACACGCAGCTTTTACCGCAAGTCACAAATTGCGATAAACCATACTAGAGACCAGTCTATTTCTTAGCAGTTGCTTTCACAATGCTCGTTGCCCACACCTCGTGTTGGCAAATGCAGACTTCTTTGCTAACAACATGATGTTATGTCACTTTGCACCATGGTGCTTCTTCTCAACACTACAAATTTGACAGATTAAACATTTCTGTCCTAGAAGTTGCATATGTCCACTGTCTTGGAGGTTTCAGACCAAAGCAACCAAAGGAAGCACTTCTAGGACCATTACGAGTTTTAAAACACAATTACATTGATGAAAACAAAAATTCCAGCTCAAATCCTTGAAGATGTCTATTGAGATACTACTCATAGTCCCTGTGACTCAAAGTATGTGAACTGTAGCCGATACAATAGCCAAGCCTGAATGCAGGTATCTGAACACACCAGCTGATAGAGAACTTCACCAATGAATGACAGAGTGTGAAGGCAATCGAAATCCAAACACGGGCAACTTTGACATGAAATGGTGCGTGCCAAGAGCAAAAGTAAATAAATACTGAGAATGATTATGCAGCAGCAGAGAATGGACAATCAAGGGTCAGATGGTACCACGGTGTCAGATTAACTGTCACTCTGCATGCCCCCATAATGATCGGCTATTAAGGTGCCCTGGATAACAGCAAATATTTTCTTGAAACACTTAAAAGTTGCAAGAAACATCAAAATGTAACTAGCTACATAGCTGCTGCTGCTGGAGTATGGTTTCACCCAAGACACAGCGTAATGTAGCAAGTAAGAAAGCAAGGCAAGGATGTTGGAACTTTCTCAATGGACAATTTTGTAACTCATACGGTTCACACCAAACCTCACACACACAGACACTCAGAGATGCCATCAAGAAACTGAATGGAATGGAAAGACTGCAGCCAATAAAAACACAAAGTTGCTCTGGTTTGCCAAGAACTAAACTGGCTCAGTTAAACACGTGCACAATCTTTTAGATCCCTTTTCTTTCAGGCTGGAGTGGCACGGGAGCTCTCGCCGACAGTTCTTCCGTTCTCCTTGAGCAGTGTGCCAACGCCACGCGTGCCTGGCGAGGGGAACGGAAGGTTCCCCATCGGTCAGCTCCGTGACTGTTGCCACGAGGTTCTCTCCGAGCTCCACAGGAGCTGCAAACTCCTTGTTTGTTCTGTCTTTGGGCTTGCGCGTCGAAAAGCAGACGGGAGAAGAGGAAATAAGAGGGAAAAATCGGCCAGAGTTGTGTCACCCCATGTAAAACACCAACGTGCAACAAACGCCTCTGTCGCTTTGACAAGAGAATTTTATGACGCACAGTCCCGTTGCAGCACTGCAGCCGTGTCTCAGAGTGCAGGGAATCGACAAGACACAAGAGAAACGAAACATGACAGACTTACAATTGAAACTTGCATTGATTCATTGATTACCAGAGAGACTTCCCGGTATAACTCAAACAGCCAGTGCAGCCGGCAAGCGTTTGTTGTGGCTTCTAGATTAAGCGAGTCTGCACAAATTCGGAACAGCCAGTTTGATGAGAGAGGTGTAGCCAGAAGCAGAGAACTCCGAAAGGCACTCTTTGCATCCTTCCACAGTCTGCCTGCTAAGAGAAAAAAGCATGAAGCCTGAAAGCTAACAAAAAATGGAGGGAAACCATAAGGGATCTGCTGCCTTCCTCTGATGAACTAGACTATTTCTGGACAAACTAAAGGATGAACCAGTATTCAGCTGCAATTTGTTTTGCATTACTGTCGAAAGATGGCCGTGGAATGGCACAATATTTTGCCAGTTCTATCTAGAAAAAAGATTTTTGTCTTCTAATCGCAATGAAACATTGGGCTTTGCGCTGCAGTTGACACTTATGAGGTTCAATGTAGCGTTAGTATCTATCTGTCATCTTCCGGTGCCGTGCTATCTGCAAGCAGCAGCAGTGTTAAAAGAATCTTGGCCTTAATTAGAAAGGGCTCAATAGTTGACTGCTAACACTGGATGCACTTTGAAAAAGCTAAAGAAAGAATTTGAACCTATATTTCTTGGATTCAAAATATTCAGCACTGCACATTCTACAGAAATGTACCGAGAAATTTTAATGGAAGAGACTAGAGGCGAGTGCTACTGGCGGTCTGTAAGGTTAAAGCGCAGTCTCCCTAACGCAAGTTTTAACTCGCATATCCACTAAAATTTTTTATGCAGCTATGCCCTTTGTTAAATTTCAATATGGCTGACAGATTAGCCTGCTGTAATGGTAACCTGCTCCCCTTTGCTACAACTAGAATAGCAATACCCACAACCATGCACGGGTCTCTGGTGATATTGATTCACTGCCCTCCACAATGCACCTTGTGCAGTATAACTAACTGCACTAACCTCAACGAGGTAACTTCTGATCTTCTAATACCAAACACAAATTCGGGTCTTCCTTGTTTCGATGAACTGTAATCAACTACACTTAAAAGGAAGATGGGGCACTTCTACATTTGAGAAAAAACGCATGAATTGCGTTCATTTGGCCTTTGGAATAACAGATATCAAAATTATATTTCAATGCGACGTGCCGGAGAGCCACAAGAGCAATTTCAAAATAGGGCTGAAGCCCCGCCCCCCTAGCCTTGGGCAGCCAAAAGAGCCGTCGATGACGTCACGGACAGCGACTGTCTTTCGCGTTTTTCTCGCGTTTACCAATACTTACGCAGCAAATGGTTTGGGTATTCGGGTTCACGGGGTAAAAATACACTAGAATTCACTTCTAACTCATTTTTTCCAAGAAGCTCCGTAGCTTCCCTTTAAACGGAAAAGGATAGCAATCCAAATGTGAGCGACACTTGCCGGGTCAGGCAGGGATCCACCTGAATAAGCTCTTGCGAGTATGAATAAAATTAGTCGTCTTGCGGCAGACGCTTCTGGAAACTGAACGCCATTACGACGAGCATCATCGAGAGCAAATTTACAAAGGGTGACACAACTTTCCGACGATTCCCGCAACAAAGGAATGCCAAACGATGGACAGAGTGTGCTTGCAAGACAGGAGGCGTTGTCATCAGTCTGTGCTTCCATGCCTCGACGCAGACCGCACTGTTTTCAACGTTTTTGATTCTCTGGCACCGAGCGGCCAAAAAACGTTGTGGAATCGGAGCCGTCCCCCAACGTCGGCGCATTAATTCCGCGGACGATGGCGCAGGTCGAGTGGCCTAAGCCGCCTGTCTTTCACGTTTTCGCACCTGCTCTTCCGTCCTGGCATGGAAACCATGTTGCCAGGCTACACGAGACACACTGGAAATTTTCGCAAATGGACAAAACACTTTGCGCGCGACCCGCCGCACACCAGCAACACAACACACCGCCGTCAATGTCTCACCGTGCGGGATGACTATGCAATTTCGACTCCCCTTCCCCACCCAGACCCGAGCGCTTTCTTCGAGCAGTTCGTGCGCAGAAACGCCCAACTTCGAGAAAGCCGGGTGCAAACTGTTTCAATAAATAAAAAGAAAAATGTGCGATGGTACGAACAAGCAGACTGGTGTCCCCTCGCAGTAGAAAGAGCCCCGCCGTAAACATTTCTCCGCCTTAAGCGGGAGCGAGAAAAAAAAAACGGTTTGGCGTACGCACTTTGCTACAACAGATGCACCCTCCAACACAAAACAACACAATGCGACGGTTTCTTTGGAAGCGGAGAAAACTGCAAAGACATGTTGATGATGAGAAGACTAAAAAAAAAAACGGTACAAAAAGAAAAAGGGAACTACAAAACTTGCTCACTCTCTCTCTGCAGCATGTGGGGCCTTAAACAGCGCCATGTTTGCTTCTTTTTCCTCTTTTGTTTTGCATGGATTCCTCGTGCAAACTAGCCAAGCGGAAGATGAGCAACTTGTTCGGCCAAGGGGAAGGAACGGGTGCCAGTCGCATGGCCGTCCCTCGGAGACACGCAAAGCCAAAGTCGGAGCCGATCCACGTGGACGATCTGGGCTCGACTACGAAACGTCGCCCGCAAACTTGGCGTAGAAAAATCCGCTGATTTAAAACCGCTCGAGTCGGAGGCGAGCTTGAGACGGAAGTTGGGGACGAGGCCGCTGGAAGTCTCCGAGAGAAAAATGCCGCCACGACGCGTGGCGTGGTTGTTCCATTTGCAGACTTTTTGGCAGACGACGTCGGGAGCGGCGCGGCCTTTTGCGGACACCCGTCAGATTCTTCCTCGTTGCGGTCGCCCGACGGACGACGCCGTCGCAGCAAGTCCGGAGAGAGCACGTACGGACGCAGGTACGTGCGGACACACACACAGGCACGACACAATCCTCCGTCGATCTCGGTCGACGTTGCTAGATACTGCTGGCCGGCAAACTCCCAGGGGCGCAAAACTATCACTTCCCCCAAAAAAGGCGCGAACGTTGGAAGCCTCCCTCATTGCTCGTATCAATGGGAGTTTCTCAACCACGCTGATCTCGTAACGTCGGCCTCGGTTACAGGACAGTCCTCCGCCGTGTGCTTCGAGAAGCACTCCCACGGCGGGCGCGGAACGCCGTGGATGGCGGAGGGTGGCGCTTGGGAGTGACGGCGGCGGCAACGGTGGGGAAGGTCCCCGCCGGCATGCTGAAAAAACCATCCGCTGAATGCGTTCGGTGGTTGCCATCTGGTAAAAAGCCACAGCACTCGTAGCGTGTCTGCAATAACCCCCCTTAACTTAGGCTTAACACATTTTAGTTGTGCTCGAGAGGTATGAAACGTTCGCATTGATCGCTCGGGAAGCTACGGCGTGACAAACCAGAGGCAATGCGAGAGATTTACTAAGTCAACCGCCAGGTAAGCACCGCCACGGTGCGTTAGGTCTAGTTTGTTGATGATAATGGACCCTTTCTGCGTAATTAAAGACGGTGCCTAGCGGTGGGCATATGTATTTATTTTTGACAAAACTTTCGTGCCAGTCTCCGAGTTAGCTGTGTATTCTTGGAGAAGAGCTGATGAGAGTATTACGCGAGCATGAGCTTCTCGAACATGCACATATGTACACATTTTTGCTAGTTTGCCTCCCTCCACATGTTTTAGCTATCCATCACCTCCGCCAGGTTGTTACTACTCCGACCCTCCCTACATGTTTTAAATATTTTGCATCACCCCCACATTCTAAAATTTCACCTCTCCCTACATTTCAGCTATTTTTCCCCTCCCACATTTTAACTGCTTCACCTGTCCCTACATGTTTCCACAATTGCATCTATTCCCAGATGTGTTAACTATTTAACGTCTCCCCACATGTTTAGCAAATTAGCCTCTCCCCACAATTCTAGCTATTTCACCTCTTCCCACATGTTTCCGTCATTTCACCTATCCCCAAAAGCACTCACTAGCTCACCTCTCCCCCATTTTACCTATATTAATTTTCAATCATTTCACTATTTCACCTCTCCCCACATATTTTTGGCTAATTTGCCTCTTCCTTCTTTTTTTTTTTTTTTTTCTTCTAAGTATATGCGCCAGCATCCACCGCAGGCCAGAAAAGGCCCATTTGTGGCGTCCACCAAAACACTCGCCCCAGACGTATTTAGGGACGGCCGTCCCTTACCCCACCGATGACGCGCCGGGCACCGTCACGTCTCCGTTGTCCCTGTCCCTCCTGGCAATGTATAAAAAAGAACTAGGCCTAACGTGCCGCATTTGCACGGCCTAGGTGAAGCCTAACGTCGTCGCGACCGACTCCCCCTCCGCATCAAGCGCACGTCCGACGCTGCGCTCGTCACGTTGCCGTGTCCCGGAATGGCCGACCGGTTCGTAACCGTACCACCAGAGGGGCCATCCCTTCGTCGCTCGCGCTACAGCTACGGTCGGCCACAGGTTAAGAATGCAGCAGAGGCTCCGCCCCTAGCAAGCGCTCGTTGCCTCCTGCTGGGATTTGGCTGCGCGTGCGACGAAGCGCCACCGAAGGCGGGACGGTCGCGCTTAAAGGCGGAACATTTACTACATTCTTAACCCGCGAACGACTATAGTGAGCCGGGTAGCACATCTCTGCAACACCGTATCCACCTTGCACACACGCGCGCAGGGACACGGTCGACGTGAACCGGGCTTCGGGAACCCTCGTAGCTCCTTTCCGTCGCGGTCGGGCGCCCGACGCAGAAGGGGCGTCGTCTGTGGCAGTCGGCAACAACAACACTAGTCCCCCCCGCCACGACGATGCACGTACAAAAAACGGGCGTGAAACAACAACGGCAACATCAACGATAACAAGGAAGAGGGTCCCGTCAGGCCTGGTGGCGGCCCCCGCACAGTCCGCAGGCCACGGCCGCCCGGTGGCACGCCCTCAGGGGCAGGTAGCACCAGAGGCAGGGCACGAGGAGCGACAGGAGCGCCAGTCCGGCCCACCGCCTCCGGCAGTCCCGAGGCGTCCCCGAGCACGAGCACGGCCGCTGGCTGAAGTCCCCCTCCGCGTCGGCCATGCAGTGGTACAGCATGCAGTGGGCACACGAGATGCACGAGGCCGCGTTGATGCACGACAGCACGCCGTCCGGCGCATACTCGCACGAGCCCCGCGCGTTGGCGTCCTCCGAGAATTCCTCGAGGCAGTGGCGGCACTGGCGGCGCTTGGGGGGTGCGCCCCCGGTGTTGCCACCGGAACGCGCCTTGCTGGGCAGCGGGGGCGCTCCGCCGGGGGGCTTCTTGGGGGCGGCGGGGGGTCCGTTGTTCCCCGAGGCCGGCGCCTGGGGGTCCGCCCGGACGCCGCTCTTGAGGGCTTCGACCAGCGGGTACGAGTACTCGTGCTTGGCAAACTGGACGTAGGAGTAGGGCTCGCCGGGGAGGGCGCTGTCCTCTATGTAGCTGCTCTTGTTGTTGGGTCCCTGGAAGAGAGAGAACTTCTTCAGGGACGTGACCACCGTCGGCATACTGCGTGCCATTTTAGAGTCACCAGACGTCCCGTTTGGGGCGGGGAAGTTCCATGCTAGAGCTCCATTAACGCTGTACCGCCAGTTTGCCTGGAAAAAGCCTCGTGTCCCGTTTGAATGGAAGAAAATAGAAAGAATGCTTATTCTCTAGAGACATGATTTTATAAAAATAAACATAGTATTATGAAAATGCCTCCTTGCATACAGCACAATTTTGAGCTCTCTCGTTTCCTCGTTAGAGGTCCCCATAAATATGCTAGACTTTTCTAGTAGTACTACTGAATTTTACTTGATAGTTTGGCAGCAACGAAACAGTAACGGGAGTCATTTGTACAATTAAATTTCCCTTTCTATGCTCAAATAGCTTAGTAGCACAATTTATTTTTAGCCCCTGACAACCACCCCCGCACCCGCCCGCCCAAAGGTCTCGTTTTCTATTTCGAAGATTGTGGTCGCCCTATGCATATGTCTCCTGTAGACCTTTGCGGCAGCAGCCTTGAACAAGGCGAGTTACAGCTGATAAAATAGTAAGGGTGCAGGCGAACTGGTGTATGTTAACCATGTTGAATATACACCAACTCATGTTTACAAACAAACCGGAGCGCTCCTAGCGGACGCCACCGGCGCCGCGCATGCGCGGTGGATGGTGGGCAAGAAGCCCGCCGTCGCCCATAAACAAACCATTGAATTGCGTTGTTGTCGGCGTCGGTGGGAGTCCCCGTGCTCTTTTTCGCGTTGGAATTGTTGATTCTACGTCCTCCTAACAATGTCTGACTACTTGAGCAGCTTCAGCAAAACTAACGAAACAAAACTTTGCGTGAATAATGTGACGTGCGGCGATTCATTTCACGTGGACGCCGCAGAATGGGCGCTAAAGCCTGACTCCCACGATGAGATACTGCACGCTATTTTCAGTCGCGACGTCGCTCGGACTGCAAAAGCGTGGACCGTAGCTGAGATGGTGGACGTGGATATTGAAAACCCGAAGTAGAATCGGGCATTACAAGTCGGTGATGGCCACTGGTAACAATGATCAACATCTTCTTGTATCTGTTTACACTTAGCCTACTTACCCCAACCAACCTTCAAAGGTGTTTTGTGGCCTGCACTTAGTTCTTATCGCAATTACCGGGTCAACGTTTGGTTTACGGGCCGCTGTCGTTTGAACGAGCAGACGACAAAAAGCAGCTAAGTTTGAAAGAGCAGACGACAGTTCGAACGCATGCGCAGTGGAGTACGGGCAACAAGCACCGCGTCCCGCGTCAACAAACCATTCAAATGTCACATTGTCGGCGTCTGTGTGAGTCGGCATACTCTTTTTCGCTTTGGAATTGTCGATTCTACGTCCTCATTGCAATGTCTTACCACTTTAATCGCCTGAGCGAAATTATCAAGGCTCGTTACGCCGCTAAACTTTCCGTAAATAATTTGACGTGCGGCGACATTCGCATGAACGCCGCAGAATGGACACCAAAACCATGGTGAGATTCTTCTAGCTATTTTCGGTCGCGACGTCGCTCGTGCTGCAAAAGTGCAGAAGGTAGCGGTGATGATCGACGTCGATACTGAAAATCGGAAGCGGGAACAGAGCAAGCTTAACAAGTCGGTGATGGCCACCCGTACCAATGATCAACATCTTGTATCTACTGTTTACACGGAGCCTACTTAAGTCTTTTGAGGCCTGAAATTACTTCTTATTGCAATCACTGGGTCAAAGTTTGGTCCACGGGCCGCTTTTGTTTGAACGAGCGGACGAAAAAAAGCAGACAAGTTTGAAAGAGCAGACGAAAGTTCAAACGATCAGCCGGCCGTGTGAATTTGAAGACGCACTAAACCAATGGGTGGTCCAGACAACTTGGAGGTTTTCTCTCGTTCATGTAGGAACAAAGCAAATGCATCTGGCGACCACAAAGTATTGCCCGCACAAGCAATCGTAGTTCGACAGCGTCTGGTTTGCCCTATTCACGGCTACTATCCACGTTCTCGGACGAACGGAGGGGGCAAAAACACATGAAAACTGATCTTCAAACCTTTCCAGACTGTTGGTACAGCCCCCGTCGCAGCATTTTGACGAGAAGGCAGGTGTTTTGTCTCGTTTCTTCCAAAGGAACGCAGGAATGCATGTCTGGCACGGCGACTTCTGCCCACCACCCCAGACCGGAAGTGCGTCCGGCGCGCCACCACCGCGGCGTGACGTAGGAGAGTTGAGTTCGTGTATACCTGAGACTGGGGTAGAAAGGACTTTTATGTTCCTTTCTACTTTTATGATCCTTTCTACCCCAGTCTCAGGTATATTCAACGAGTTACAGTGTGTGTTCCTGGTTTTCAGCACGACCTACTGCAATCCTGACCTGCCCAAGAATGTGCCATTATGCTCGTTTTAGTACATGGCCACAACTGTGGCGTTTTGCCATGCTATGACTTCGCGGTGGTGCATAAAGACTTTTTTGTTTCCTAGAGTATCCGAATATTGATCGAGGCGTGGTGGCCTCATCCGGTCCTGACCTGACCTGCTCTCCTTGTGGGCCTCGCAGGATCGAGTCGCCGGTCGGTGGTCGTGTGACAGATTCGTCACTAGAGGCGCCGGCTGCCAGCACAGTGGCTATTCATGAGTGGTCCACGAAAGTACCTTATTTAGACAATGGAACAAGAGCAGTCAGGGTCAAAAAATGGCCTTGCGCTTCTATGCCTGAAAAAGGCGATCTTTCGATCCAAGCAAACATGAGAGCGATGCATTCTGCTATGCGCTATTGCCACTGCAGCCTGCCTGGCACCACGCTACGGTAGGTGTTCCCGAGAAACAAATATTGCCAGCCGTGCGCTGTGCGAACCGTGCGCCAGATAGGCCAGGAACCACAAATGAGTCGCAGAAAAGCCTTTACTAAGCGACCCCATGCCAAAGCGACGCGCTTCATCAGCAACAGCGTCTTCCATAGGGAGCCATTATGTGGGCAGGTCAGGATTACAGGAGGTCGTGGTTTTCAGAGGGCACATCAGTGTTGCATGAGTGCACTGGGCCATGATTTTTCTCGTCCTCTTATCAACGGGCAGTGGCAGCCTGGGTAGGCGCAATTCCGGATGCTGGTGGCAGCTAAATAGCTGCATTTTATTATTTTTAAGCATTTTATGGCAAATGAAATGTCTCGAAGCTTTTTGTGAAAGCATTGTACCATCTTTGAGAACAAAACCGAATCAATGGATGCTATTTTTGCGAGACTGTGCATGACAGAACGAATGCAACTGCAATGTTTGTTTCATTTTACGCAGATTCGGAATGCCGCCAAACACTCGGCCATGTACCTAGAGAAGTCCTTACTGTTAAAAATATATGGCCACACAAGATAGTCAAAAGGCATTGGTTTTGCCCCGTCAGAAGGTGAAATTCAACGAGTCCCATAAATAGAACAACATGGTGTAAGTATCCCACAGTGCCGCATTATCCCAAGAGGGTTTATTAGAAAAATATCTCAAATAACGCAGCACTTCCTATCTGTGTACCTCTACGACGATCGGACAGAATCCGGCTTGTTTTAGGGCACACTTTGACGAAAGCTTCTGTTTGCACAGCACCAAAGCAAAAGAATGGACGTGTCTGTTCCGTTCCCTTCTCCTCACCCGATCAGTTACTTTTCACAAAGACAGGGAACATAGCTAAGAAGGCGTTTTGAACATTATTTCGGCAAAGATAATCCTCCAAGAACGTCGAATGGCCCTTGTCGCAAACTGCCTGATGTTCGCTCTCTTCGTTCGTTTCCTGCCAAGGCCGAGCAGGCTACGAGCCTTGGTATTCTTTGGTGCTCACAGTGGAAGACACCAGAAAAAAGGGGAAGCAAAAAGTGGAAGACACCACAAAAAGGGGAAGCAACCCAAAAAATGACCGCATCTCCACGTGGTGAATGATGTTGATTGAGGCGAAGCTCTGGTGGTGCTGATGATACTGATTTTGTTCATAGGTAGTGCTGATGGTGCTGATTTTTTTTATTGCTCATAGGTAGTGCTGAGTTCCGGGTTGCGTTTCGACTTCATTATTACTGTTTTATGGTCGGTAGTCTCCGGAGCAGCTTCCTGTCTGCGTAGACGCAGCATGCCAAGCTTTTCGTTTCAGGATTAAAAGCGCTAAATAACGAGGACCAGTAAAAGAAGACACACACACAGTAGAGCGCTTTACTGTGTGTGTGTCTTTCACACAGTAGCACTCTACTGTGTGTGTGTGTTTTCTTTTACTGGTCCTCGTTTTTTAGCGCTTTTAATCCTGAAATGTGTAACCAACTAGCCCAAGTCAATACCCTTTTAAGCTTTTCGTTCGTTTTCATCAATGTCAGAAGGAGAATGTATGGTATGGAACGTGGTTATATATGCATTTGAGCATTTGATCGCAGCGCCCTCTCGTCTATAAACGTTGAGCCAATGCATGCAAAGTTTAACGTGATTATATACGGATTTGACTGCAGCGCCCTCTCCTGTATAGACGTTGAGTGGCTACATGCAACGTTTCATCCATGACATCCCCAACCCTTGAGTTACTACCTCATGTGAGAGTCCCCTACTCGTCCCGCAGTCGTGGCCGAGTGACTAGGGCGATGGACTAGAAATCCATTGGGGTCTCCCCGCACAGGTTCGAATTCTGTTGACTGCACAAACATTTTTTTCTTTTTTTAAGAAGACAGATGGGATGGCAATCGATGTGAGCACGGACGCCGGACAAGGCTAGACCCTAAGCAGCTTCGCCCCTAATAGGCAGGTAAAGTAAAAAAATTGTTAACAACAACACAAAGTGCACTGTGATTGACAGCGGTAGCTGCTGCGTTGTGGAAAGCATGTTGAAGGAAACTTGCCATTAGCCAGTTTGTGTCTGAGGACCCCATGGCCCAGCTACTAAAAGACAGGATGCCCTAAAAAGCTGGTTTTCAACCACTGGTGTTTTGAGGACTCCTAGATTGGCCAAAATGACTGGCGACCCCGACTACTGGGAGGGAGGTGTGGTATTGGACGATCACAATTACTAAAGTAAACTTGGAAGAAACTTTGAAACTCGAAAATGGACAACAATCGACCCTCGACACTCGGTGCACATTGGTTGGTTTATTTAGCTTTGTAGGACAGCTAGCATCGATAAAGAAAAAAAAACTTTATCGCTCGACTCGACTGAAAGTTGAGGGCTTCGGGGACCCTGAGGAGATCTTCGGGTATTCTAAGGAGTCTGCAGACCCCTGTTTGAGAACTAAAAGGAAAAGCTGCAGTTCCGCATGCAAGAGGAGCGCAAGAAAACATTTCACGAGTGAACGAAGAGATTCAAATACAGGCTCTGTAGTGGGTTCAAGGCGAAGTTATGCAGCATAAAACACATCTCCGCCTGGCGACATATGACAGAACAATGCACCGACTTTCATGGCGTCATCTGTTGCCACTTCGGGGCCCCTTTTGATGCGTGGACGGGATAGGACGCCAAACACACCGGACAAAGACGGCCTTGAGCACCGGGTCGGCCGCTCGACGTTCAAAGGTCCAAAGCAAAAATTTTATGCGACGGAACGGCCTCTTCGCCTCTGCCGTCCGCCGCTGACCTGCCGGCTTCTCCCTGCAGACCATGAGGAACGGCCGACGAACTGACGGCACAACGTCACGGGAGCGAGGCACGGCGCAGGGATCGGAAGATGCGCGAGCGTTGACTACAGAAGATGAGGAGATTGGATCTGCAGCGACACACCACCGCACCATCAACGGTTCAAGGGTCCCGATATGTGTCGTGGTGTGTCTCTCTCGATGAAGTAATTGTCCGTACCAATGATAAAAGTTTTCTGGACGAGGAGATGGTGTAGGAGTGTTTCGAGCTAGAGCCACCGAGTAAATTCCGAGTAACGACACTTCGGCACACTCAATGCTTGAAAGTATGCTGTGCGCAGAAGAAATTATCTGAAATGGAGACACAAACCCCGTCGCGGAACCTGGCGGCCCGGCATTCCAGTTTGTGGGTATGGGGAAAAGAACACGACAGAATTGATTGGTGCTCGGGCTCCGACTGGCCGCACGTTTTTATTTTGCACACGACCCGCGTCACGGAGTTCGTGACCCGAGCTCCGTGCTGCGGCCATTGTTGCGGGCTCCTGCAGTGGGGATTCCTGTGGTCTCCCTTCCCCGACGTCTGTGATAACTGCCGCGGGTCGGAACATTCCCCTTCTTCGCCGTGGGCTCCGACCTGACTATGTTCAGTGCGCCTTCAAGTTCAAACGGCCGCCTGATCGTTCGAAGTGTTGTCTGCTCTTTTAAGCGTTTCTGCTTGTTTTTGCCTGATCGTTCACACGACAGCATCGCGTTGACCGAACGTTGACCCGGTAATTCCGATAAGAAATAAGTGCAGGCCTCAAAAGACTTTTAAGTTTAAAGGTTGATTGGGGTAAGTAGGCTAAGTGTAAACAATAGATACAAGAAGATGTTGATCATTGTTACCAGTGGCCATCACCGAATTGTTATGCCCGATTCTGCTTGCGATTTTCAGTATCGACGTCGACCATCTCAGCTACGGTTCACGCTTTTGCAGCTCCGAGCGACGTCGCGACTGAAAATTGCGAGTGAAATCTCATCACGCGAATCGGGCTTTGGCGTCCATTCTGCGATGTCCGCACCGAAAGAATCGCTACATGTCGGATTATTCATGCAAAGTTTTGGGGTGTAACGAGCCTCATTAATTTTGCTGAGGCCGCTAAAATAGCCAGACATTGCTAGGAAGACGTAGAACTAACAATGCCAACGCGAAAAGGAGCACGGGGACTAACAACGACCCCAAAAACATCGCATTTCAATGGTTTGTTTATGGGCAACAGCGAGCTTTTTGCCCACACTCTATCGCGCATGCGCGGCACTGGTGGCATCACCTAGGGGTACTCCGGTTTGTTTGTAAACACGAGTTGGTCTATAAGTAAAATATTGACGAACGAACTTGCTTCGTTCAAAAAAGAAAAAAAGAACCTGTTTCGGCCAATCTAAGGTGACGTTTTGCAGACGACGCATGCCGTCATGACACGAAAACTGCTACACCCACTCGTCTGCGCGGACTGCAACGGATGAGGGAGAGTTGCAGTTATTGCGCTTGCTTGGGACGTTTCTGGGTCGAGCGTTGGCCATGAAGTGCTTCATTCTCCAAGCATCCATTTGACTAATATTAAAGGTACGAGGGAGCGTGTGGCAGCTAAAGGAGGCGCCCCGCTTTCTACCTTGGCAGCATGTTGGTAGCGCTACTGACGATGGCGCTGCTAGCATGCAGCCAAAACCGCGTGTGTACGCGTTGCCTACCTCTCTATTTTCCAATGTGACCTGCCATGTCCGTGTCTTTCCACGATCATGCTCTTATATCCTGCGCCGCAGGAAAGGAGTCACACTTTAACATTCAAACACCTACCTACGTCTAGCATTGCTGCATTTGAGTTCCCACTTGCCCAAAGCTCAGATTCTATCGTGTCCTTGCGACGTAAAGGATCGTTCACACAGTTGCGTCGACTGCGTTGTGCTGCAGTGTGTCATGCTGCATGGCGCTTCCCCATCGGCTCGTCGTAAGTATCGCCATAGTAACAGCTCAACGCAAGCAGTCTTAACAAGACGTGAGTGGTTGCAGTTGCACTCAAATGCAACTGCATGAACGAGGCCTAACGTACCGTAAAATACAGAATGTGTGCACATCTTGCAATAAGTGCCTCCCCCCCTTTTAAACATTTAAAATATAAGCAAAGGACACGTGTAGCACACACCCCAGAGAACTTCTCAGGCCACCAAGCTGTCCAAGGTGCTACTCCACATCAGCTGCTTCTCTGAGAAAGCCAGCTTTACCAGCGTGTGCCATTGCGAAGTGGTGAAGCTTGATGTGAGAGTGCCAGCGCGAAGCAGGCTCGATGAGAGTGGCATAGCTGTCTTAAAAATAAGGGACACGGCCAGACTGCTGCACTGCTGCTCCTATACCATTCCGTCGGATCAAACATGGGTCCACCCCACCATCTGCGCCTTCTGTTTTCCTGCTTCTGGAGCTAACAAGCGCCTATCCCTATTTTTAGGAATTATTCCCAAAGTTAGGGATGTGGGCTTGCTTCATATTTTACAGTAGTCACACACAGGTCAGCAGAAGTAAAAAGGCATTTTGTGAAACTGCCCATAGGTGGCACAAGCTGCCAACCAACTAAAAGAGTTGAGTCGCAGCCATCTGTCTTTCTTGGAGCAAGGTGCGTGTTCCTATCCCCTGTGAGGCATTCTGCATGGCCACACAGAGCTTACCAGAAGTGAAAAAGCATTTTGCCAAAGCTCCCTATATATGGCACGAGCTGCTGCCTGATTTTGAGGTTTGGATGCATTCGTCTGTCTGTACCAGAGCAGGTTGCGTGTGCCTGTCCGCACACCTGGAAGGCATTCTACATGGTCACCCATAGCCTACCAGAAGTGAAAAAGCGTCTTGCCAAAGCAGATAAGCCAACTCAACACGTTGTATTGATGTGCGCAGGCCTGGAACTTGTCCAACCAGCGGAGTGTGAACGGGAAACAGGTTAATGCACACTGGCAGGGGCACTTGGCTTTAAGGGTGCTTTGCATTTAGTGGTAGACTCTGCCAGCAGGGCAATGGCAGCAAATTTGTTGTTGCTAAGCCAATGGCCAACAAAGGCTGGGGTAATGGGTGGAGACAACCAAATGAAGATTAGAAAACTGGTGGCTGCTTGTTCAAAAGCGGGGCTAAACAAACACCACTGGTTAGTTCCCAAACACCGCGAGACCGCCTGATTCAAAGGAAATGATTTCACACCATCATCATCGTCAGCCGCATTTAACCGTCCGTACCGAAGAGAGTTGCATGAGCCTGTCCGCCCACCTGTGAGGCGTTCTACATGGTCACCCACAGCCTATGAGAAGTGAAAAAGTGTTTTGCCGACGCTCCCTATAGATGGCGCAAGCTGCTGCCCGATTCGGTGGTCCGGCTGCATTCATCCATCCGTACCGAAGCATGCGTGTGTGCATCCACCCACCTGTGAGGTGTCCTTACGGACATAGTTGATCCGGTGCAGGTGGTTGGCCGAGTAGGGTGACAGGCCGCTGCCGGCAGAGGACGAGCCGGACGAGGAGCGGGACTCGACGGGCAGCTCCAGCGTCATGAATACCTCGTCGTCCCCGATGTCTGAGTCGTGCAGCGCACCGCACAAGTCCCCCACACCTGTGACGCACCAAGGGACGAGACTGTGATTACAAGTTTGATGGCAAAAAAAACTACAAAGGTCACACTGTAACAAGTTGGGACAGGCGAAGAGGTTGCGTGTCATAAATATGGTGCCTGGAACACGTCTTGACTGGCGCGTTTACCGTGTCGTCGAAAGTGGTCCCTCGACTTACACTTAAAGACGAAGCAGCAGTGTCACGTCGTCGCCGGCCATGATTATAGTGGTGTCAAAGCAGCGGTGGTGGACATGGCAGACGCCTGTTTCGCTGCAGGCCGCACTCCAGTTTGACAGTCTATGAAGCTCAGGCGGTCAAGAGCCAAAATGATGCCATGATGGTGACACTTGCGTTCATTCTGGCTTTTTGCCGGAGCTTCTACCACCAACCACCGGGGTCGCAACGTCGAACAGTGTGACACTCCGACTTTTGTGAAGTCATTTCTTGCCACTTCGAGACCACTCTCGATGCTCGAAAGAAATGGGATACTAAACAGGCCAGTCGGAGACGGTTCCGAGCACTGTATTGTTACTGCACCAAGTCGGGACAGGAAAAGAGGCCATGAGTCATTATTTCGGAGAAGTGCATCTAAAATAAAGGGTGACCCCGAAAAAAAAAATCCCGGTTCTTTGATGTGTCCTGCAAATGAGCTGCGGCAATGGCTGAGAGGCTCCAAGCTGCTGTCCGCAATTAGTGTTTGTTTTTAGGTGTTTAAAGTTAGTTTAAAAAGTTGCGTCCCACTCAATTTGGCGGACGGTGTTCATGCGACAGTTTCTTGTGAACACCGTCTGCCTTGTGTACATCTGACGTCAATTTTCTCGATAAATTTAGCGAGGAAACTGAATTGGTGTTTAGGTTGTGTGACGTCAATTTCCCCACTAAATTTGGCATGGAGACTGCATTAGGGGTACAGGTCATGTGACATTGATTTTCCTGCCAAATTTAGTGGAAAATGCATGGACAGACAATGAATGGCCTGGTACTGCGCCACCTAACCACTGTTCTCAAGCATTTCGTGCCATAAAACAGTGGCTAGGTGGCGCAAGCCCCCGCCCGAGTTAAAGGGTTCAGCTTCACGCATCCATCCATCCATCTTGCTCTCCTCTCTCTTTCAGATCTATTTGCGTTTTCTGTCGTGTGGAAGAAAGAAAGAGAGGGAAAGAACGGAAGAAGACTCGCTCTGCTCTTGACCGTGCACGTGGCTTCCCCATCCATGAACGGCGGTGGGAAGGAGGGACAGGAGGACAGACAGAGGTGCAAGGAGAGAGAGGCAGGCCCGAAACGGTGCGAGCAAGGGACGTGAATAGGAGAAGGTAAAAGCAGCGCCGTCGCAAGGAGGGGGAGGGGAACCTTGCAATGCAACCACTAACGACTGCATCCAAAATGACCGGGCCATTTGCACAAGCGGCATGACAACTGCACGGCTGAATGTATGTATGTGTGCAAAGCTGCTGTGACAGAAGTGATGCTGCTAATATCCTATCCTAATCTACTTGCCCTCCTTTTTGTTCTGTTCTTTTTTTTGCTCACTAACACACTAGCTGATAAAAAGAAGTAAAGCCCTCGAATAAATGTTCAGTCTGCCCGAGACGTTGCTTGGTATGTGGCAACGAAGATGTCTACACTTGCGAAGCGGTGTGGCCGCTGATACTGCCAACTTGGATTGCCAGACATGGCGGCATCACTAAGTCCCCCGCAGTTCGAGGAGACAGTGGAGAAGTGGGACGGTTACAAGTTGCGGCTGAGAGCCTTTTTTGAGGGGAACGGCGTGAGCGACTCCAAGAAGAAACTGGCATCCCTGGTGGCCGCGCTAAACATACGGACGGTTACGGTGCTGAGCAGTCAGTGCGCCCCAAGCAAGGTAAATGACCTCCAGTACGAAGAAGTCACGCAACTGCTTCAGGAGCACTACTCGCCGAGGACAAACGAGATTACGCAGTCGTACTTGTTTTTAACAAGAAACCAAGAGCCAGACGAAACGGTGAAGGATTTCATTGTGGCTATTCGGCAGTTGGCAGACACTTGCAACTTCGGAAGCTTGCTACAGCGAATGCTGTGTGACCGCATCGACTGTGGAATACGGGACCCTGATGTGAGAAGACACATGCTCACGAAGACGTCATTGACACTTGTCGCAGTGGAGGAAATCACCCTGGCTGCGAGAATGGCCAAGATCAACGTACATCAAATGAACCGACAACTGAAGCCGGGGGAGGAGGACAACACGGTGCATGCACTCCACGGCCGACCAGCAGAAAGCCAAGACAGAATGCTTTAACTGAACACTTGTAAGAGCAACAGAGAACCTTGCCCAAGGTGCGGCGGAAGCAGGCATGAAGCAAAAGAGTGCAACTTTCGCAATGCGCGGTGCTTCCGCTGTGGCAAAACTGGCCACCTGGCGAAACGCTGCTTCGCTACCAGCAACAAGCCAAAAAGCACAATGGCCTTCGATATCCAAGCCGACGCAGACGAAGGCCAGGGTGGTCTTTTTGCAATGGAAGCACAGGATTTCATCCGGAACTTCAGCGCAGTCCAACCGTTCATACGGACCTTCCATTAGGATGATGTAGCAGTGGATATGCAGCTAAACACGGGGGCACCAGTGTCCGTCATCACATGGGCCACGTACCAGTAACCCAAGGACGTCTGGCCGAAACTTCGCGAGACGGCAACAGAGCTGACGTGCTTCCTGGGAAAATTGCCCGTGCGCGGACAGCTCGATATGGAAGTTTCGCCGGGGAACAAGACTGTGACCGGAACATTGACAGTTCTGGAGTGCCCTGGACCGAACCTAGGCGGCCGTGACCTGCTGCGTGATTCCCACCTGCTGCCAGCGCCAGCCTTCGTCAATCAGTGTCAAGGTGAGCGAACAAGTGCTACCGGCATTGGGCCGATACTTGTGGAGTTCTCAGACTTGTTCGAGCCGGGTCTACGATTGTTGAAGGGTCCCCCAGCCCGCTTCCAACTTCGCGAGGGTGCGGTCCCCAAGTTCTACAAAGCTCGACCTGTGCCGTACGCACTGCGAGAGAAGTTTCTGATGAGTTGGACCGGCTGGTAAAGTTAGGCGTATTGTCCCCAGTGGCAACGTCAGACTGGGTGACACCTTTGGTTTCTGTTGTTAAAAGGAATGGCAGTATTCGTCTTTGTGGGGATTTTAAAATAACGGTTAACAGTGCCTGCCACGTCGAACAATATCCACTGCCACGAATTGAAGACATTTTTGCGGCGCTAAACGGCGGGGAAGTCTTTAGCACGATTGACTTGAAAGATGCATATAACCAGCTGCCCTTGGATGAAGCACCCAGTATGCTGACAGTGGTGAACACATGGAAGGGTTTGTTTGCCTTTAATCGGCTACCCTTCGGTGTCGCGTCAGCTCCAGCTATTTTTCAAAGACGCATTGAAGCGGTCTTGCAAGGATTGCCTGGTGTACAGGTATATCTGGACAACATTATTGTGGCCGAAAAACAACACAACAGCAGCCTTCTCCAGACAGTGTTGCGGCGGCTGCGCGAGTCCAGGTTAAGGCTGCATCCAGAGAAATGCAAGTTTCGGCAGCAAGAAGTCGATTTCTTAGGTCACCGAATTGACGCGAAAGGCCTACATCTTAAGGCGGAAAACGTGGCTGCGATGATTTCATTAGCCTCACCAACCTGCGTGACAGAATTAAGGGCGTTTTTGGGGTTAGTGACCTATTACCACAAATTCCTGCCAGCCGTATCCTCGAGCCTTGGGGCCTTTGTACGATCTTCTGAAGAAGGGGACAGCATGGAAGTGGGGCAATGTCCAGGAGGAAGCTTTCAAACGAACAAAGACATTACTCCAAGAGGCAAACTTCCTCACGCAGTACGACCCGAAGAAGCCATTATGGTTAGCATGTGATTCGTCCCCGACAGGGGTCGGGGCAATACTGTCGCACAAAGAAGATGGCAAGGAGCGCCCGATCAGATTTCGTTCTCGGACGCTTTCGATGGCAAAGCGAAACTACTCGCAGCTCGAGCGTGCGGTGCTTGCTCTTGTGTTTGGTGTTACCAAATTTCGTCAATACTTGCTTGGGCATACGTTCATGCTAGTTGCCGACCACAAACCCCTTGTGGGGATCTTTTACCCGGAAAGACCGATTCCCGCGATGGCGGCTGCAAGAATACAGAGCTGGGCGCTACTGCTGAGTGCCTACTCATACAACATCGAGTATAAGCCAGGAAAAAGCAACATCACGGCAGATGCCTTTAGTCGCTTACCGGTCCTTGGTATGGTGGACCAAAGCACACGTTTTGCTGACAAAGATGCGCAGGAGTATGTACTGCTGATCGAGCAGTTCAATGACGGCGTGATATCGGCCCAGCGACTAATGGCGCTCAGAGATAACGATTTGCAATTACGGCAAATTCGTAGTTGGATACAGAACGGCTCGCCACAGCAGCTGTCGGAGCCACAGCTGGCGTTGCGCCCTTATTTTGACCACAGGGACGAACGGATGCTGGGTCATGGACTGATCTACTGGGGGCACCATGCGGTAATCCCAACGAAGGCGAGAAAAACAATGTTAGAGATGTTACATGCCACGCACCAAGGTATTGCGGCGATGAAGATGCTCGCGCGCTCGCTTTTTTGGTACCCCCGAGTTGACAGCGACATTGAACGTTTGGCCAAACTCTGCCAGGTTTGCGTACAAGCCTCCTATATGCCACCAGCAAAGCCCCCTGTTAGCTGGCCAGACACGAGAGAAAGGTGGTCAAGATTGCATGTCGATTTTACAGGGCCGGTTTATAATCACATGCTGCTGATTGTCATTGACTCGCACAGCAAGTGGCTCGAGGTCATCCCAATGAAGACGGCCAGTTCCCTTGCGTACCATTTTTGGACGGTTTGGGCTGCCAACTACCGTTGTGTCAGACAACGGACTGCAATTTACAAGTGACGAATTTCACAGGTTCGAGGAGCGAAACAACATCATCCGCCTGACAACGGCGCCCTACCAACCCCAGTCAAACGGGCTGG